TTGTAACTGTTTTTGGATTACTTTTAACAAATGGCCATTAATAATATTATAGCTGATTTTGTTAGTTGTGGCTACTGGGAAAGCAATGTTTTTGAAAGTCCATATTTATAGCCTATATGATACAATCATATTTTAGGAAGTGATTTTTTTTGTCTCGTTTCCTTATCTGATAAGTGAGCAGGGAATCACAGATGGGATATTGGCAGTCAAATGAATCCAACTTCCACCCACTGTAGGAATCCTTTCTATGATACCCCTGACAAAGGGTCTCCTAGCCTTGAACATTCCCAATAATGATAAACTCACTGTTGGGTGGTTCTTCAGATAATAAGACTTTCCCTGTAACTGAGATAATATCTAAGAAATTGCTTTGATAAAATTAAAAGGATGTTCTGTAAATTCAAAATTTTTCTAATTCGTAGATCAGATTAATCTACTACTTGTTTTTTTTAAAATAGTGCCCGACTGTCATGACATGATCTTCCATTTAAGTAGTACTTTATTATTTTAAAGATACTTTTTCATACTTCAATCATGTTTAGTGATTTTAACAAGAGTTTTAGTATTCTGGTATACTCTGCACTTTTTGTTATTCATTTATTTAAAAAATATTTTAATTGTTTATTTATTAGAGAGAGAGAGAGCATGGAGGGGCAGACAGGGAGGGAGAGGGACAAGCAGACTTTGTGCTGAGGGCGGAGCCCAAGACCGGGCTAGATCTCAGGACCCTGAGATCATGATCTGAGCTGAAATCAAGAGTCCGCTGCTCAACTGACTGAGCCACCCAGGTGCCCCATTATGTGCTTTTTAAACCAAAACCCTAGGATCATTGTCATAATTCCATTATTCTGGTATTTTTTAAAAATCTAAAGTATTTATATCTTGAAATAAATATCTATAATTCATCTACTTAATTTATGAAAAAAAGACACATAATATGTGGTCTATAAGTCCTTACTTATTGTGCACATAACAAAAAAGAAACCACAGTGTTATTGATAAGATTCTGTTACATGGATAGTTTTTAGTCCAAAATAAAGAATTTCTTGTCCAGTAGAATACAAGTATCATGGTACTAAAATTGAAATAGATAACTCTGCTTTGGAATGTCTAGCCACACATGATAAAACTAATGAAGATGATGAAATCAGAAATAATTTCTTTGAAACAAAATTTACATAGCACTTTATAAATTTAAAAAATCTAATCTTAATCAAAAATCAAAAGGTGTTTTATAAATATCTCCACAAGGTTATCAAGCAAGAGATGAAATTATTCAAAAGAAGTCAAGGAAATATTGGGAAGCAGACCTTAATCCTCATTGTTTTTCTGACTAGTGTAGTATCTGAAAGTTTTTTAGTTGGAAAATTATGCTCAAAATTATGCTCTTCACCCAACAATAGCACCAAATGATGATGCATCTTAATTTTTAAGATCACATCTTCTGAATAACATTTCATTAAAATTTATCTGCTAATAAAATATTAGCATGTTTAACATTTGTTTTTTTAGTAACAACTTTATTGAGGTACAAATCATATAACATGCACTAACTCATTTAAAGTGCTCACCACAGAGTTGTGCAACCATCACCACAATTAATTTTAGAACATTTTCATTACACCCCAAAAAGAAACCTTGTACACATTAAGTCATTTCCCATCACGCACCCTTCCCCCAGCCCCACCAGCCTCTGGCAAGTACTACTAACCTACTTTTTGTCTGTATGGATTTGCCTATTCTGGACTTTTCATATAAATGGAATTATATATGATCTCTTGTGACTGGCTTCTTTCATTTAGAATAATATTTTCAAGGTCCATCCAAGTTGTAGCATATGTCAGTACTTCATTCTTTCTAATTGCTGAGTAATATCCCATTGTTTGGATATACCACATTCTGTTTGTCCATTCATCAGTTGATGGACATTTGGGTTGTTTCAATTTTTTAGCTATTATAAATAATGATGCTATAAACATCTGTATACACATTTTTGTGTGTGTGTGTGTTTTTAAGATTTTATTTATTTATTTGAAAAAGAGAGAGACAGAGCACAACCAGAGGGAGAGGGAGAAGCAGACTCCCTGCTGAGCAGGGAGCCTGACATGGGGCTCGGTCCCATATTAAGCATCTGAGCCAAAGGCAGACGCTTAACCAACTGAGACACCCAGGCGCCCCCTGTATACACATTTTTATGTAGACATAGGTTTTCATTACATAGACCTATTATGTAGACATAGGTTTCATCTAGGATATATACCTAGGAAGTGGAATTGCTGGGTCATATGGTAACTTTCTTTCAAAGTGGCTATGCCATTTTACATTCCCACCAGCAGTATATGAGGGCTCCAATTTCTCCACATCCTTGTTTTTACTCACCATCATCTGCCTTTTCTTATAGCAACATTTGTTTTTATAAATGATACTGATATTTTGTAATATATTTAGAACATTAAAATTTTGAAATATAGGGGCGCCTGTGTGGCTCAGTTGGTTAAGCGACTGCCTTCGGCTCAGGTCATGATCCTGGAGTCCCGGGATCGAGTCCCACATCAGGCTCCCTGCTCAGCGGGGAGTCTGCTTCTCCCTCTGACCCTCTTCCCTCTCGTGCTCTCTGTCTCTCATTCTCTCTTTCTCAAATAAATAAATCTTTAAGAAAAAAAAATTTTTTTGAAATATATTAAGTATTGTTTACTGATATTTTGCTTTATGAATTCTAAACTCTTTTAAAAAAACACTGATATTTATACATATTTCAGTGTTAAAGTTAAAACCCCAAGCTATCATTTTTGCACTGGTTATTTCAATAAATAATTACATTTTCTTATAAAACTTCACATGATACATTATCTTTAAAGCTCAGAATTAGGTAAAACTTTTTCTCTACTTGTATCTTCCTTCTACAAAACAAATGAGAGCTGTATAATTCATTCCTTCTTTGTGATGATTGCTAGAAACCTTATAAGCTAGAGCTTTTCTTAGTTGGGAATTCTTACAAAACATTAACTTTTATCTGTTATCTTATGACCATTGTTTTTATACCTCTACATTTAGTAAAAGCTAACACAATCCTTTTTAGAAAAAGGGTTTAAAAAAGTAAACAAATAAATACGTAGTATCCTTGATCTGCACAGAAATTTCTTCCCAATTCTATAAATGATGAAAGTGAGGCAATGAAAAGTGACTTACTCAATGTCAGAACCTTAGAAGTGGCAACGCTGGTAGTAGAACTTAGAGAGTCCCCCGTATCAGTTCTTTATGCTACCCTCTCCCTCTGTTTAAGACAGGCCTTTTCTACCATTGTAAAGTATCCCAGAGTAGCTCCTGCAGAGCTAATACTTAAACATGACGGAGTCCCCATAGTAAGATATTCAACTAATATCCCATCCTAGTGATGGAGATAAATTTAAATATTCCAAATCCAATCCTCACAATGGCTTGCTCTGTATGATAGAAATAAATTTATTTTTCAGTGATGACTCTGTGATTATAAATATTATGAAAATTTAAGTCATCAGTTTGCTGCTAATGATAAGAAAGATTGTATAAGATTTAAAAATCTGTATGGGTCACGGTGTCTGATCTCCGTAGTTAGCTTAAGAACAGGGGAGATGGGGCGCCTGTGTGGCTCAGTTGGTTAAGTGTCTACCTTCGGCTCAAGTCATGATCCTAGAGTCCCAGGATCAAGCCCCGCATTGGGTTCCCTGCTCAGCAAGGGATCTGCTTCTCCCTCTGTCCCTTACCCCTCTCTCACTCTCTCTCTCTCTCAAATAAATAAATAAAATCTTAAAAAAAAAAAAAAGAACAGGGGAGATATTTCCAAATAGTTCCCATTTGGAATAATTTGTAGAAAATTATTTTATGTTTTTCTGTATACTTTATAAAGCCACATACAAGAATTATTTGTCTATATGAAATTTATGAATTCTTCCTTAGAAAAAGAAAGTGAATATCTATAAAAGTTATTATAGAAATGCATTTAGTATTCATTACTGTTGATACTGAATAGAAGTTAAGTTTTAGTTCCAGATATAAGGTGAGAACACCATTAGCTGGAAACTAAGTTAGCTATGAGTTATTTCTGGAAATATAAAGTCCAATAATTTTACTTATTAAGTTGGGCAAATAAATCATAGGTATGTTCCAAACCTAGATAATAGTTACAAAACAACCTAAACATAAATAGAAAAATTCAGTAAATTATATCAAACCCTTCTCCTCTCCTCACTCTATCTCCACATTGAGACTTAAGTATTGTGAACACTGCAATGTTTGGTCTAAAGAATTAGGCCATCACTGTGAATTAAGAAACATCATAAAATGATTTAAATCACTATATGCTAAGTAGTAGGACCTTGTAGTTGAATAAATATTGGTTTTCTAGCAAAGTACAAACCTTAGAAGTTATATCATTTGCCTCCATCATTTTACAGATGTGGGAAATAAAGATGAGATGAAGGAAACTGCCCAAGACCTCCTAAGTTCAGGGCAGGGTGGAAATTATAACCAAGCTGATTACTGATTGAAGGCTATTTCCATAACACCATGATAGTTCAAATCAAAATCCATCTGATTTGTAGCTTTGTTTAAACCATAAGTTTAAAAGACCTGAACATGATATGGCCTATAAGAGCAAAATGTTTTGACGAATTCACATTTTTAGCTGACAGTCAACAGCTGACAGAAACCAAATATAATAGCACTGTTACTATCAGCACAGATTATGGATATATTATTAAAAGTAAGTGTAATAATGCCAACCTTCAGACTTTCTAGGATATTTTTAAAATCATAAGCAATGCTATTAGATATTTTAGGATCACTTAAAAAATTACTTTCATACAGACAAAGGGACAAACTTCTGGAAGAGGAGCTAAAGGGAAGTTCGATAGCTCTTCCTTGTCTACTTCATTCCCTGAAAATGTGTTCCACATTAACTTCACAAGTTGAATATTATAGATGAAAAGAGGGAAGAAATAGAAATCCACCCAGTTCTAGAATTATAGATTGAGTTTTGGAAGATGGGTTGATCTCGTAATCTTTTTTACTGGTCCTCTCTTGGCATTCATTGTCTTCTGATTAACTGGATTATATCTTCTCCTGAAATAAAAGAAGTTTTAATCATTATTTTTCAGTCATCATTGTGTACAACAAAAACATCATATGCTTATTGTACCATCCTAAACAGCCATATATTATACCATATTATCTCATTACAGATAGAGAGGAAACCAACTCAAGGGCAGATAATCCAAAGGCCAGGAAGGAGTCCATGAAGTGGCCTAATGTAAAAAGCTCTGACCAAAGAGGGATGAGATAGACCATTCTGATACTGCCTCTGGAAATGTGAATTAAAGCTAAGAAAATAGAGAGAAGCCACAAAGTAGGGCAGAGAGAATAAAGAAATAAGGATCCATGAGTAAGCCAAAGTATGTTACCTAAAATTATAATAAAATTGAAACTAAGATATACCAAGGTCTGTGATATTAAAAAGATATAGAGAGTGATGATGGCAGTTGGTAATGAGAAGAAAAGTGAAGTAGAGACTGAACTAGTTGAAGTAAAAACAGCAACACTTTTAAAGCACATAATTTATATCAGGAACTGTTCTAAATCCTATTTATTAACTGATTCATATCAACCTCACAAAATCCCTATGATGTATGTACTATTATTAGCGCTGTTAAATAGATGAGGAAAAACAAGGTTATACAGTTAGTAAGTGGATCTAGAATTTGAATCCAGAAAGGCTGAGTTCAAAGTCTATGCCTTTAACTACTTTTCTGTATGGCAGACCACTAAAGTGAAGAACTATGAAGTTCTACTCAGATTTTAAAGCTTCCTTGAACTCTAGTTTTAATATCTGTGGGCTTAGTTATATTGGAATTCCTGTTCTTGGATTTCCACGGGACCATCTTTCCTGTATTGATTTACATATCTTTATAAAGCCAACTTCCCCACACTCTTACTTAAGAGTAGAGTCAGCTTCAATTCCCTGCAAGGGGCTTTTCAAAAATATTTTACTCAGGGAATGATGTCAGGAAAAATGACAGAATGATTTTAGAAAATTCTTTCCTCTATAAAAGCAATGGGAAAATTGGCAAAAATGGTCAGAAGCAACTTTTTCAGAGCTCTGGAAATTAACCAAGGACTTGGAGCAATCCTGGAGAATTTATTAAACACATCACACACCACACCCACACCCCAACACACACAGAGCTGAAACTCAGCAAAAACACTGACCTTTGTAGCATTTTAACTTGCCCTAGCCCTCTTTCCCCAGCTTTGTGGTATTCCTATGAAGAAGTTGAAAAACTGACCCTAAAATTCATATGGGAATTAAAGGGACTCTGAATAACCAAAACAATCTTGAAAAAGAAGAATTAGGGGCACCTAATTCACTCAGTTGAGTGGCTGCCTTCAGCTCAGGTCATGATCCCAGGGTCCTGGGATTGAGCCCAGCATAGGGTTCCCTGCTCAGTGGGGAGGCTGCTTCTCCCTCTCCCTCTGTCTCCTACCTCATGCTCTTATTCTCTATCTCAAATAAAATCTTTTAAAAAAGAAAAAGAAGAAGAAGAAGAAAAGGAATAATTAAGTTGGAGTAATCACACTTACTTATTTCAAAACTTAGTGAAAACCTAGTCATCAAGACAGCATGGCACTGGCATAAGGACAGACTTATAAATCAATGGAGTAGAACTGAGAGTCTAGAAATAAACTCGTATGTTTATGGTTGATTTTTTAAAAGGGTGCAAGGACAATCAAATGGGGAAGAATAGTCTTTAGAACAAATGGTGCTAGGACAATGGGATAGACACATGCAAAAGACTGAAACTGGATCCCAGTCTCACACTATACAAAAATTGACTCAAAAATGAATCAATGGTGACTAACATAACATAATAAAATAAAATTTAAGAAAATAAATAAAAGCAATCATAAAAAAATGAATCAAAAAGGACCTAAAACTATAAAACTCTTAAAAGAAAACATATGTATAAATCTTTGTGCTCTTGGATTAGGCAAAAAATCCTAGGAAGCCAAGGTCAACTGGCCTTCAACCAAATCAAAACTTTTGTGCTTCAAAGGACATCATCAAGAAAGAAAAAATAGCAACAAAGAATGTAGGAAAATATTTGCAAAACATGTATCTGATAAGGTCTAGTAACCAGAATATATAAAGTACCCTTATAACACAACAAGACAACAATACAATTTAAAAATGGGCAAAAGGGGGCGCATAGGTGGCTCAGTAGGTTAAGCGTCTCTCTTCAGCTCAGGTCATGATCCTAGGGTCCTGGGATGGAGCCCTGCTTTGGGCTCCCTGCTCAGTGGGGAGCCTGCTTCTCCCTCTCCCTCTGCTGCTCCCCCTGCTTGTGCTTGCTCTCTCTCTTTCTCTTTCTCAAATACATAAATAAAATCTTTTAAAAAATAGGCAAAAGATTTGAACAGACATTTCTCCAAAGAAGATATACAAATGGCAGGCAAGTACACAAAAAGATGCTTAACATCATTAGTCTTTGGGGAAGTACAAATCAAAACTACAATGAGATACCACTTCACAAGTACTGGGATGGCTAAAAAAAAAAAAAAAAAGGACACAGCAGCAATGTCCACAATAGCCAAACTGTGGAAAGAGCCAAGATGTCCATCGACAGATGAATGGATAAAAAAGATGTGGTATATGTACACAATGGAATATTATGCAGCCATCAAAAGGAATGAGATCTTGCCATTTGCAACGACGTGGATGGAACTGGAGGGTGTTATGCTGAGTGAAATAAGTCAATCAGAGAAAGACATGAGGAATTCTTAATCTCAGGAAACAAACTGAGGGTTGCTGGAGTGGTGGGGGGTGGGAGGGAGGGGGTGGCTGGGTGATAGACACTGGGGAGGGTATGTGCTATGGCGAGTGCTATGAATTGTGCAAGACTGTTGAATCACAGATCTGTACCTCTGAAACAAATAGTGCAATATATGTTAAGAAAAAAAAAGAAGAAGATAGCAGGAGGGGAAGAATGAAGTGGGGGAAATCAGAGGGGGAGACGAACCATGAGAGACGATGGACTCTGAAAAACAGAGGGTTCTGGGGGTGGGGGATGGGTTAGCCTGGTGATGGGTATTAAAGAGGGCACATTCTGCGTGGAGCACTGGGTGTTATGCACAAACAATGAATCATGGAACACTACATCCAAAACTAATGATGTAATGTATGGTGATTAACATAACAATAAAAAAAATTTTTAAAAAAGGAAAATAACAAATGTTGATAAAAATTTGGAGAAATTGGAACCCTCATACATTGTTAAAGGGAAAATAAAATGGTGCAGTCGCTCTGGAAAATAGTTTGGCAGTTCCTTAAAAAGATAAAACAGTTATCAACTGACTCAGCAATTCCATTCCAAGGCATATATCCAACAGAATTAAAAACATATATGCACAAAAACTTGTGTGAGAATGTTCATAGCAGCATTATTCAGAATGGTCAAAAGGTGTAAACAACCTAAATGTCCACCAACTGATTAATGGACAAACAAAATGTGACAGATCCAAGAACTGGAATATTATTCAGCCACAGAAAGTAATAAGGTACTGATATATGCTCCTACATGAATGAACCTTGAAAAATTATGCTAAGTGACAAAGTCAGGCACATAAGGCCACATATTATTTGTTTCCACTTGTATGAAATAATAAGAATAAATAAATATATAGAGACAGAAAGTAGATTAGCAATTGCCAGAGGCAAGGGGGAGGGAGGAATGGAGAGTGAATGCTAATGGATAAAGGGGTTTTGGAGGGAGATGAAAATGTTCTTTAAGCACATAGTGGTGATGGTTGTACAACTTTGTGAATATACCAAAAAGCAATGAGTTTTGCTTTAAAAGGGTAAATTTTGGATAACAACATGTAGAAGAATGAAACTGGACCACTTTCTTACACCATATACAAAAATAAATTCAAAATGGACGAAAGACCTAAATGTTAGATGGGAAAACAAATAGAAACACTAAAGCAATTAGACACAAGTATCCCATAAATAATTACCTTGACTTCTTATATACATCTAGTCCCAAATGAAGTTATCAAGGTTTAGGTTTTTTCTATGTTTATTTAAAATCTTCGTTGTTCTTCCCTTAGTAGAACCAATGGAACCTTATAAAAACAGTGCCATATCTTGAATGCCCTTTATGAGCTGGGTGCTTTATAAGTTGTGTTAAAAGTACGCATATTCTTACAGAAAATACCAGAAAATATAAATACAAGTTATCCATAACTTATTATCCCACTATACTATTTTGAATTACAATTTTTAATTGCTACTATAGGTAAAAATTTTCTTGTGTCAATTATATATTTTCCTAGAATGTGATTTTTTGTAACTTTATATATAATATCATCATAGTTAATTGAATTATTCCCTTAATGTTGGATATTTTGATTGTATTTGCTCTACTCTAGCTGCTTCTCTTATCAAAAGGGGGTTCCCTAAACAATGTCTCTTAATGAGTCCCAGAATCAATTTCCCTCAGGTCCTGTGATTTCTAGGGCACTAAGGATTGCCTTATTTTCTTCCTTAGAGTTTTTAATCACTCTGAAACACTTCTAAGGAGAAAAAAAATGAGGATGTTCACACTAAAGGAAAAAAAATTATGGTTTTCTACGTTTATGAACCACTGCTTGTGGTATCAGCTTTTGAAGTCTTTGCTTGCAGGAATACGATTTTTTATAGTTAATACATGCCATAATCATAGTCATAAGGTTACCTATTAACTTAGCAACTTCCAAACCTCATCCTAAGGAGATGATTTCTCCTATTTATCTTAAAGATGATTATCTCTTATTTATCCTTTTAAGATTTTATTTTTAAGTAATCTGTACACCCAATGTGGGGTTTGAACTTACAACCCTGAGATCAAGAGTCTCAATCTCCACTGACTGATCCAGCCAGGTGCCCCATATCCTTTTTTCAAATAAGTACATGTAAGGATCTCTAGAATACATCTTTTAATAGCAGTATAGATATCTTGTTCATTTTATGACTATGGTTTCACAAAGTAGGAATATATGCAATAGCTAATATTCAATATCCCTCTTTGAAAGATTTTCTTAATAGCATATCACAATCAAATGGGTATTTTCTTTCTTTTTTCTTTCTTTCTTTTCTTTCTAAGAGAAGGAGAAAGAGTGTGCATGTGAGCTGGGTGGGGGGAGGGGCGGAGGGAGAGGAGAGAGAGAATTTTAAGCAGGCTCCATGCCCAGTGCATAGCCTGATGCAGGGCTTGATCTCATGACCGTGAGATCATGACCTGAGCTGAAATCAAGAGTCGCACACTCAACCAACTGAGCCACCCAGGTACCCCATGTGGGTATTTTATAATGCTCTCATTTATTCTGAACATAGGAAAACTCCATAAGTCAATATTTAACATTAGCATACATAAGAATATCAACTAAAGCAAACATTAAATGCCACTAAAACTTCATTTCTAAAACCCTGCTTTGAGTATAACACATATAGAAAAGTGCACAAAATAGAGGTGTAAGATTTGCTTTATAATAAAGCAAATACTCACGTAACCACACCCAGGTCAACAAACAGAACGTTGCCATCACATTGGAAGACCTTGTGCTCCTCCCAATTATCATTCCCCTTCTCCTTCCCCTTGGTAACCACTATCCTGTCTTCTGACAACACAGTTTAGTTGTGCCTGTCTTTGAACATCATATAAATAGAATCATATTATATGTATTCTTTTATTTCTGGCCTCTTTTCCACAAAACTGTTATAATTATCCATGATGTTGTGTGAACTGTAGTTTGTTTTTATTGTTGTATTATTCATATATATTTATAATATATTCATGTTACTATTCATAAATATATGAATATTTGTTTTTATATAAGAATAACATATATGTATGAATATATATCTCTCAAAAAATTTTATCTGATCTACTACTGATAGATATTTGAATTCAGTTTATGGTTGTTATGAATAAAGCTGTTATGAACATTCTTGCACAGGTTTTTTTTTGGTATAAATATATGCACCATTCTGTTAGGTACATAACTAAGAGTGTAACTGTTGGGTTATAGAGTAGGTGTATGATCAGCTAAATGTAGAAAGTAATACTAAACACTATTCCAAAGTGGTTGCATAAATTTACACTTCATATCTTTGACAACACTTGGAATCATCAATCTTTAAAATTTGTGGTGGCCTCTCATAATTTTAACTTGCATTCCACTGAATAAGTAATGGTGTTGAGTCCATTGGCCATTTGGATATCCTCCTCTGTGAGGTACTTAACACTAAAACTTGGTTTAAAGACTAAAACTTGAATCAAAAAGTGTACCAAGTTCCAGAGTTGAGGCAATAACTCAGAACAACAATACTTTAAAGTAGTACCAATTATATATACCTAATTTGGAAGGTTATAGGTATATAGAAATGTTTCTATTATTTGAGTTATTTGGTCTATTAATATTTCCAGAAAGTGGAGAGGTTTTTTTCCCATTTGTATGACCATTTATTCACTCATGCATCCATTAAAAAATTAGTAAACACCTATTTATGCCAGGCACTGTATTCAACATTAGGCTCTACCAAAGATGGAAGTGACATATCCAAGATCAAGCATGTGCAGTGCCAGAGGGCACAGACAAGCCTACTGAGCAGGTGGATGATGTGGTCTGGGATACCTGCTCAGTAATCTTGTGATGCACCAGCACCTCCAGCTCAGTTCAGACCTACGGCATGGAGGGCCCCAAAGAGAAACTGATCATCAGGATGATATAGCAGGGGACAAGGAGGAATGGGTTTGGCATCCAGGTCATCTACTTGAGTGTCTTTTAGTACCACCTTGACCAATTTGACAGTTATGTGGATGAGAACCATTTATATATGGCCTAGAAACGATATGACAGGGGCGCCTGGGTGGCTCAGTTGGTTAAGCGGCTGCCTTCAGCTGTCATGGTCCCAGGGTCCTGGGATTGAGCCCCGCATCGGGCTCCCTGCTCAGCAGGGAGTATGCTTCTCCCTCTCCCTCTGCCTGCTGCTCTGCCTACTTGTGCTCTCTCTCTGTCAAATAAATAAATAAAATCTTCAAAAAAAAGAAAGGATATGACAAACTGGGTTCTGATTCTCCGGGTAGGTCATCCCATCAGAGGAAGAGAAAGTCCATACTTCATTCACTGATGAATCAGCTTGATACATGAGACTGCAGCTGCACTGTAGCCCTATTCTCTCTGCCCAAATCTATTTCCTTCCCTTCTCCTCGACGTACTCATTCTAAGAATGCTTAAGAGTAAACTTCCTACATGCTGATTTCCGTTTCAGAGTCTGCTCCCTGAGAGAGCCAACCTACAACAGCATCAGTGGAAAACTAAACTGCCCTAATAGACCTATAGTATAGTGATATAGATGTGTATGTGTGTTAATACATGAGTAGAATGAGTTTTATTTGTATTTTCAAAATATTTCTCCATTATTTAAGAATATTTGAATAAAAGAGGTATTATCTTTCTAAAATACAATTGGAAGATAAATATAAAAATAAAAAAGAAATATTAATTGACAGATAAATGGTAAAAATAAAAAAGAAATATGTAGGGTGATTGTGCAGAAAGAGTTACTATAGCAGGCCTGAAACTAGAAAGGCCTTCTTTCAAGGCTGGCCCCTGGCTGGTGTCTGGGAACTTAGTGGTAAAAAGTTCCCTACACTGATAAAATTTTCCTTAAATGAAAAAGAATGGCTTACTGTACTTAAACTGTACAAGTAATATGGTTTCTGTGAACATGTTTTCCTTCTGGAAGTCTGGAATTTGGTATGTGCTAAGCAGAGGGTACCTACATGACTGGCCCCCAGTAAAAAACATGGGCACTAAGTATCTAGTGAATTTCCCTGGAAGATCAAATTTCATGTGTTGTCACACATTGTTCCACGACCTACTGCTGGAGGAGCAAAGTGTGTCCTATGTGACCGCACTAGAGGACTTTTAAAAGCTTGTGCCTAGTTTCCTCCAAACTTCACCCCATACACCTTTTTCCTTTGATGAGTTTTCTTTGTATCCTTTGGCTGTAATACATCCCAGCTGTATGCACAAATATATGCTGAGTCTTATGTGTTGTTCTAGCAAATCACTGAACATGGGACTGGTCTTGGGGCCCCCCAGGTATAATAGTTTTCAGAGGGAAGTCATTTTCCAGAATTTAATGTTTTCACTATATTTATTTCTATTGATATTAAATGTACAGGATAATAAGTTATAATTTAAAATATTTATGACTACTCAAGGAAGAACACACTTTTATCCATCTAGCCATATATTGGACAAAATGTTGCTATCCCATGAATCTCCACCAAAAACACTTGCTATATTGCATATACCTTTTATGCCTGTATTTGAAAAGAATTCTGACTTATAGCTAATTTATATCCTGGTTTACTCTTTTGATATTGTTAAGTTATATATGAATATATTCACCTACATAAAAAAGGTTATATAAGACAAGGATTGCCTGGTTAATTATTCTGTACATAGTACAGAACAGGAAAAATTATGTGTAGATATAACCTCCTAAACCCATAAAACATTCCTCTGTTCTTTATTCATCCTAAATTATTTTTGTTTGCATTGGAAAACACAGTTTTCCACTGATGCTGCATTGTCTTCTACACTAATTTCAGTGTCTATATTTCATCTGTAAAAAAGTTAAGGCTGGTAATTTAATTGTATTTATATTGTTAATGGTGTAGATTTAGGCTTCTCTTGGGTAGCGTATTGTTTTAGCTTAGAAAATAAGAACTTATCTTGTTGGAAGACAAAACATATTCTTGGGATCTACAAAAATGTATATAAATAGTGAATAGAGAGCATAAATTTCTTTAAGTTCTTTTACCATCTGTTTGTTATCTTATATCGTTGCTATAAAATCTAGAAGTTCAACTTCCAAAATATAATGCACACCTGTTTTGTCAGTATCATTCACATGCAAATATAATTAATTAGAAAGGAAAGATATAGTTAGACTTACATTTTCACTAGATTCTCTTTCATTCTAGGCAGCTGATCCATCTGTTGCCTTTTAGAAACTTGGTATGAGTCAGAGACCTGAAATACAAACATTTGAGCATTTGTCCTCTTATTTCATGACTGATTTTGGAGATAAGAGGAACAGTCCATTCTCAATTAACTCTTTTATAACCAGGCCCTTAAGTGGTATGCATAAAGGAAGCTAAAGCATAATGAGAAATTCTGGCCTTCTCCAGTATTAAAAGGTTTCTAAAGATTATGGAAACTCCTTTATCTCAACCCTACATTCCATGTGATTTTTAAAATAAATATAGAGGAAATTCTGAAAATCATATCATCTTTGTGGTATAAAGATCATTAAAAGTTTTCATAACAGACACTCAAAATAAATAATATATATACTCTGCCATTAAGAAAGATATGACAATAGAAGTGGAAATGGAAAAACAAGATCATATTTTCATTTTTGTTTGTTTTGAGACACTTCTGTGATACAAAAGTGGACTTTCTGTAGGTGGTATAAGTAAAATTTCCATTACAGGAACAGTTGAGGCTGGTGACCTTAGAGATGGCATTGAATACATGAGTAAATGAGATCATTCAGTAAGAACACAGAGAGAAGTAAGAGAGTTGATGATAAAAACTTGACAAGGCAACTTTTAAGGGGTAGGAGAATTACTAAAGGCCATCCCTTAAAAAATAGGAAAAGAGGAAAAAATACTGGCATGGAAGTCAAGAGGTGGGTGATATTCAAAAAGTGAGCATAGTTAGCAATATGAAATGCCTCAGAGATGTCTACGCTACCAGGAGGTTTGAAAAGGAGTCATTAAGTTTGGCTATTAAAAAGTAAACTGTGCCAGAGCCCAGTGCTGGGGGTCAGAAAGGAATTGAAAGAGGTCGAAGACTAAAAGCAAAGCAGTGAGTATATCCACCCTTCCATGAAGTTTGAGAAAAGAAAAGCTAAGGCAGTAGTTTTATTAAGATGGGTTAAAATAGGGGCACCTGGGTGGCTCAGTCGGTTAAGCAGCTGCCTTCGGCTCAGGTCATGATCCTGGGGTCCTGGGATCGAGGCCCACGTCCGGCTCCCTGCTCAGCAGAGAGCCTCCTTCTCCCTCTCCCTCTGCCTGCCACTCTGCCTACTTGTGCTCTCTATCTCTCTGTCAAATAAATAAATAAAATCTTTAAAAAAAAAAAAGATGGGGTAAAATAAAAGTTGGGGTTTCTGTTTTATTTTGGTGGAAGAGATGAGCATCTTTGTGAAGATGTTAGATCATCTTTGCTAAGTGGGACAATTTTGGGCACATTGGACCAGATGGAATTCACTCATTTATTCACTCAGCAAATGCTATTGAGCATCCACTATGTGCCACCTCCAGTTTAGCACTGGGGCACAAAGATAAGTCACAGTTCTTACAATCTATTGGAGCATAATACATAGATTATACAATTCACTGCCTTGGCAGAGGTTTGCACAGGTGCTTTGTAAGCATAAGGCAGATGCTAGTTCAAGCCATAGGGGGCCTGGAAGAGTAGCCAATTAAGAGCTAAGGAAAGGACATTCCAGGCAGAAGGAGCAGGAAGGGCCTACAAGTATAAGACAGCATGACATGGTGTGAGTAGGGACACAGCTGGAAAGGCAGGTGTTGGAAAGGATCTTGTAGACTACACTGAGCTTTGCTGAAATCCTTTGGACAATGCAAAGTCACTGAAGGCTTTAAATAGGGAACATCACCAGAGCGCCCGGGTGGCTCAGTTAAGCATCCAACTTTTGATTTCAGCTCAGGTACTGATCTCAGGGTCCTAGGATCCAGCCCCAAGTCTGGCTCCATGCTCGGTGGGGAGTTTGCTTGGGGATTTGCTCCCTCTCTCTCTGCCCCTCCCCCGCCAAATAAATAAACCTTTTTTTAAATTTAATTTTATTTATTTATTTGTCAGAGAGAGAGAGCGCAAGCACAAGCAGGGGGAGCAGCAGAGGGAGAGGGAGAAGCAGACTCCCCGCTGAGCAAGGAGCCTGATGCGGGACTCAATCCCAGGACCCTGGGATCATGACCTGAGCCAAAGGCAGACGCTTAACTGACTGAGCCACCCAAGTGCCCCTAAATAAATCTTTTAAAAAAAGTAGGGAACAACACCATATCTGTATTTCAGAATGATTGCTCAGGCAGCAGAGGAGAAAAAATTGAGTATGGTGGGGGCAATATTTTAATAGCTATGCTGTTGAGATTATATTTCAAGTCTAGATTTAAATCTAGGGAGCTCTAGGGTTCCTGGGTGGCTCAGTCAGTTAAGCGTCTGCCTTAGGCTCAGATCATGATACTAGAATCCCAGACCTGAGCGCCCCCATCCGAAGCCCGGCTTGTTAGGGAGTCTGCTTCTCCTTCTTCCCCTCCCCCTGCTCATGCTCTCTCTCTCTCTCTCTCTCTCGGTCATTCTCTCTCAAATAAATAAATAAAATCTTTTAAAAAGAAAATAAAAATAAATCTGGGGAGCTCTATTTTCAAATGAATAATAATAAAATAGAGTTGTCCAAAAAGACAACAGAAAGAGCTGTATAGTCTGGAACCTATGACATAAGGAATTGCTAGTGTAACTTTTGTGGTAATTTAATATTTTAGCTTAGGGAAAAAAACTATGGAAACACTTAAGGGTTGTTTTCATATCTTTGAGAAGCTGCCACAGAGGAGACATATAGAATTGTCCTGTGTTCTTCAGTGGAAGAAACTAAAACCAATACGTTTTAAGGAAGGAGAATAAGGAGAATTACATGATGCTTTAACAATTCTAATAATTAGAATTGCCTGACAATGAAACAGAACAGCCTCAGGTTCATTATCTGTAAACCAAAGCATTATATTCAATAGTGTCTCAGATCTACTGCTAAAATTCCACATTTATGGAAACAGAAGTTTATTATGTGTTACAAGTTCTAGTCAGCCTTTCTGCCTGACTTTTTTTTTTTTTGTAACACTGTTTTATTAAGAGTGAACTCTTTTCAGTATTCCTAAACTGTAAACAATGGGAAACTGAAGTATCAAAGGAAACACATCAGGGATTATATATAACGGACAAAAACCTTTAAATTTTCTTATTCCCTTTATATAACAATCAATGCATATTTAAGTAAAACTGAACTTCTTACTAGGCAAATATTTTTGCATACGCTGCCTTCTCTTTATCTTTTTGTGCTTTTATCTTTTGTTTGACTTTCAGCAATTCTGCCTGGATAGCTTTATCTTCAGGTGCTATCTCCTGAGCTTTCTTAAGATCAGCCAGTGCTTGATCGTATTCTTTTAATCCTTGCCATCCTTGAGCTCTACGGTACAATGCTTTGGTATTGGATGGGTCTATTCCAAGAGCCTCCAAACAACTGTCGATTGCTCCCTGCCAATTTGACATCTTCAGTTTACAAGCACCAATATTCAGCACGCAGCTTAAAACTGTAGGTTGCAGCTTCGATCTATCTGCTTGCTCAATAATGGCCTTTGAACCTTCCACATATCTTAAAACTTTTGTATATTTTTTAATGGCCATCTCCCAGTTCTGAGATTTGAAAAAAATATTTCCAATATTTTTTACATCTTCTGTTATTAGTAAAATTTTATTTACATCTTTTAAATCTATATCTGCATCCTCAGGGAAGTCTGGATGACTGTCACCAGAGCCATCTTTTGGGAATATGCCCCAATCATCCCCTTCCTTCAATTCTCTGCATTCTGCAATAACACACAATTTGGCAGGTTTTTCACCTTTCACTTGTACATTTTCCAGTATCCTTGCCATACCCATTCCTTTAATTACTTGGCCAAATACCACATGTTTCCCATCCAAGTGAGGAGTCGGGACTGTTGTGATAAAGAATTGAGAACCATTTGTATTGCAGCCTGCATTTGCCATGCTCAATAAACCTTCCTGATCATGCTTATAATAGCAATTTTCATTGTCAAATTTTTCACCATAAATACTTTCTCCACCTGTCCCATTTTGATTTGAGAAGTCTCCACCCTGAATCATAAATTCCGTAATAATTTGATGGAAAGGGCATCTTTTGAAATGGAGAGGTTTCCCAGTTGTGGGTCCAATGCCTTTTTCTCCTATAAACACTCTGCATGAAAATTTTCTGCAGTTTTGGGTACACTATCTGCAAATAATTCTAAGACAATTCGACAAACTCAATCCCCTCCGATGTCCACATCAAATAAGACTCTGGGGTTACTGGGGTTGGAAGGCTTAGTTTGGGGGGATGGGTGAGACATTTTGAATTGCAGATGCGCTTGGGAGCAAACTCAGAGAACCTCGTGGACGACCGGCAGCTCAACCCAAAAGCGGCTTTCTCCTCTGCCTGACTTTTAAGTAATGCAACGAACCTATATATGCTTACAACTCAATGTCCGTACTGAACACATATTGCATAAATTAGAAAAGTCCTGAGATATGGAAACTCACAGTTTCATTCAAAACACTGAAGACAGCAGAAGTATAAACAGCAGCCTCAGCAAATAGCTCTAGTTATCTACCTAAGAATCAATTATTTATGTATTCACAATGGAAGGAACTGCAGATCATCCGCTGACCTTTCCCATCACCCTAATATCCACATGGTCAGAACCATTTTGACTATAAAGACTAACAATTCATTCTAGAGTGAAAATCCTTATTAACATTTATACTGGGGAACAGGATTAACATCCTCCTGGGAAGCTGTTAAAATAGGCTTTGATTGTATGTTCAGTGATCCTGTATAATCAGAGTAGAACCTATTCCACCTTAGTGAATTTTTTAGATAAACAAATAAAGCTAAAGGAGGAAGGCTGAGGCAAGTAGAAATTCTAATGCCCCCATCACAGAGAGAGAGGCTAGGGAGATCAGAAAAGAAAATAGGAAAATAATGTTCACCACTTACTAGAATTTAGAACATATTATGGGCCAGGCATTTTACTCAGCACTTTATATACCTTTCATCTCTAAACACTCACAAATCCCCTGCTAGACAGTACTATTATTTCCTGTTCTACCAAGAAGGAAAGAAATTAGGCCCCAAAAGTTCACACTACAATTAGGTACCAAGCTGGGATTTAAATCCAAATTTAAATGACTCCAAAACCTGTGGTCTTTCCTCAAATCATGGTCTTATAAAGCAGTTAGCATTTATGCTAGAACTTGAAGGAAGCAGAATTGGCACATATGAAAAGCAGCATATTCCAGGTGGAGTCATGGTCTGAGGAAAGGCATGAGGGTGCCTGCCTCAGTTGGCAGTGATGCCAACTGAGTATCCAGGACGATCAAGTGTGAACTGACTGTTTTATGGGTAAGAGACTACAGGAGTGATTCTATTTTTTTTTTAAGATTTTATTTATTTATTTGACAGAGAGAGACACAGAGAGAGAGAACACAAGCAGGGGGAGCGGGAGAGGGAGAAGCAGGCTTCCCGCCGAGCAGGGAGCCCAATGCAGGACTTGATCCCAGGACCCTGGGATCATGACCTGAGCCAAGGGCAGATGCTTAATGACTGAGCCACTCAGGCGCGCCAGGAGTGATTCTATTTTGTCTCAATTTCCTAACTTAATCTTAGTCACTACTAGAGAAAAAAAAAAGAAGTCCAAGCCTCCCTTTATCCACCACTGCCCTGACTTTCATTCCCAAATTGTTCTATACATTCCCTTATCAGCTCTAAGCCCCAATCCTAACTCCCTTCCTCTCCATCCTTTCACTGATCCTCTGGAAATACCAGATCAGTGATTAGCAGACTATGGCAAACTCAGCCCTCAAGGTCCTCTACTTCCTTGCCTCACCTAGTTAATGTCCTGAAGACTCCAACCTTCTTCTTGGCTCTTCCTCCCCTGACCAACCCTTAGAAACTCTTCAGAGCTATATTCTAAACTATCTTTTCTTTTCACCCTGTATACTCTCCCTGATGCATTTCACTCATTCATATGGCTTCCTTTACTATCTATATGCTAATAATTTCCATGTCTATATTTCCAATTTTTATCTTTTCTACCCTGAGATTCATATATCCAACTGCTCTTTGGACACTTCCATTTAGATAATGTGCATTGAAAACTAAAAAAAAAAAAAGAAAACTAAACTCCTATCCTGATTTTAAAACATATATCAAAATAAAGTTAACAAGGATTAAATATTTAAATGTAAAACATTTAGCCAAGTACTAAAAAAAAATGTGATAAATGTTATGACACATTGAGATGAAGACTTTTAAACTATGACATCAGAAGCCATAAATAAAAATTGGCTTTGACACCATCAAAACAAAAACTCAGTAATACTAACATCATCATAAATAAAACTGAAAGGCAAATGAAAAACTATGGAAAATATGTGCAGCATCATTCATAATTTACTGATCACTTTCCTGTCCTGTCATTTGTATGTACACACTTTCCTATCTTGTATTGTGAGTACACCCTTTCTAGTAATAGTGCAGTATCTTAGGCCTCACTATGAATAATTATGACATAATATGCCATGAATTTCATGATAACAGAGGGATAACTGCTTATTTGCTTGAATTCTAGAAATTATAGATCAAACTAAAAGGATAACTAAGGAAGCAAATACGCAAAATATTCCCTTAATCTGGGAAACTTTTATCTCCTTTTTACCTTTTTATAAAACCTATAAATTTTCCTTTTCACCTTCCATATTTAGAAACTTGGTACATTTTCTCCCATAATTCCAACATATGTTTGTTTATCAAACCAAACCAATCAAAAGCCTAGAAAAGTGAAAAATGTAATTAACAGTAAGAGGAAACTCTTAAAATTTGGAAGATAACAAAAGTTACCCGAGACATTTCAGCTAGGTATCTACGGTGCTCATTGTTGGTCTTGTGGTAAGCCTAGAGGAAAAATACATAATTAAAGAATCCAACATCATGTTGTAAATAACAGTAAGAAATTTCTTCACTGGAAAATGCCTCTGCCTCATAACATTCTGTGACTTCAAATTCTATAATATGTACCTTTTAAGTAATGGCAATAATAATAATTACAATATTTATTTAACCCTAACAATATTCCAAGTCTGTACTTGTGCTAAGTGCTTTCCACAAATTATTTCATTTAATCCTTATAAAAGCCAGGAAGATGGCTAATATATTTATTTCCATTTTACTGTTGAGAAAATTGCATCTGATAGATGTTAAGTAACTGGTCCAAAGACACACAGATAATAAATTTTAGAGCTGGAATTAGAAGCCAGGTAGTTTGGGGTGCCTGGCTGGCTCAGTCAGTGGAGCATGAGACACTCGATCTCGAGCTCCATGTTGGATGTAGAGATTACTTAAAAATAAAATCTAAAAAAAAAAAAAAAAGAACCTAGGTAATCTGACTCCAAAGGTCACACATGCTAAACAATATTATTATGTATTTTTCATATGACTGATTCCAGTGTAACAACAGTACAGTAGAAGAACAGACAATAAAGTTGATGACCAGGAGAATTGAGAAAATATTGCAGAGTAGGACAGTTCTGGAAACTAAGACCTCAAGCCAAATACCATTCATCACAAATAGCTGGAGCTGAGTAGAGGTTTAGCCAAATGCCAGAGCAGTACTGCATTACAGCAATTTGGTTTAAAAATTTAATCCTTAAGAAAAACAAACTGAGGGTTCTAGAAGGGAGGGGGGTGGGCGGATGGGTTAGCCTGGTGATGGGTATTAAAGAGGGCACGTTCTGCGTGGAGCACTGGGTGTTATGCACAAACAATGAATCATGGAACACTACATCACAAACTAATGATGTAATGTATGGTGATTAACATAACAATAAAAAATTTTTTTAAATTTAATCCTTAAACCAATAGCTAATTATTTGCAGTAACTCCAATTATTTAAATGTTCTTATTCTTACACATTACCACATTAACATTAAAATATATTCTTACATTACCTTTTCATATTCTTACACATTACCACATTAACATTAAAAAATCTCCAAACTGAATTCTACATAACCCTTGTTGGTCATGATTTAGGTCACTTAAGTTATTAAAAGAAACATTTAAAGAAAAAGAGAAGCAGCTGATTTAAATCTTCACAAAGCAAAACTGCAAGATATTTTAGAGCTCATACCCTCCCCCTGAAAAACAGTTAATTCTCTAAAAACTTATTTTCTCTCCTAGATACTTGTTAGTACTTATTAGAATATAAAAAACTGTATCAATAGAATAATTAGGTCAGCTGAAACAAGGCAAGTTCTTGTCTCTAAAAATAACACCAGTGATAATACAAATCTCTTGGTTATGACAATTCTCCACTATGCATATTTGGTTACCATTAAAACATAACTGGGTGATATTTCTCAGGCAGGCCTTATTTGTCTTGGAAAACCATGCACTGGTGTCATAAATGGCCTGCAGTCCCCATCCCCCAAATACAAACTTGCTCCAGAAGAAAGTCCATGAAAGCCCCACAAATTTAAGAGGTTAAACTGAGTTATCCTATAGAAAATTAAACCCTTATGAAATAAACCACTGCTCAAGATAAAGAGTTTTTGAAGAAATAATCAAGGAGTGATGGAAGTGGTTCAAAATTTTGCTGTATAGACCCTTGCTAGGAGAATTCCAAGCTTAGTCTACCATAGTAACGTGGTTTAGTTACATCACTTGTTAAATACATTTTTATAAATGTAAAAGAGAATCTAACTCTTTTTAATATTGTTTCAATGGGAAAACGCACTCTAAGTTCTAAAAGAAATTAGCTTATCAATAAACTACTGTAATACAAATTATTTTTATATTAAAGATGACCTGAATGAGCTATGACCCAAAACTAGAAATTCACACAAGAAACGTACATATGAAATAGGTAAAATTCAAGGCAATACATGACTAAATGCCAAAATGTGAAACACAGACAATAAATGCCTCACAAGTTTTTGAATGAGGCTGATCAACATGGGCTAGAGCATTCAGGATCCCCCAAAGGGGAAGGATTTGAATGGGCAAAAAAGAGGGAGAAGGGGAGCTATATATTGATCAAAGACTTGAGTCAAATGATTATTTAGTGGTAATGATAGAGCTAAAGCAAGATATCTGAGCAATAAATAAGAGATAAGGTAAGATAAATAAGGAAGGACCTGGTTATAGAAGACTTAGACTGCCAGGGTCAGGAAGCTAAATGCTGGGAGCTATCGGAAATTATTAAACAAGTGGCATGATGAGAGCAGGGGGTTAGGAATACTAATTAAGTGGCAACTTCTATGACAAAAGGATGTTTTGTGTTATTTATTGATGTGGCTCAGTCAGTTAAGCGTTGGCCTTTGGCTCAGGTCATGATCCCAGGGTCCTAGGATCGAGCCCAGCATTAGGTTCCCTGCTCAGTGGGGAGCCTACTTCTCCTACTCCCTTTGCCCCTAGCCCCGCTCATGCTCTCTTGCCCTCTCAAGTAAATAAATAAATAAAATCTTTAAAAAATTAAAATAAAATGCAAAAATATATAACTCCTGGAAGATGACATAAGAGAAAACTTAGATGACCTTGGGTATGGTGATACTTTTTTCAAAGGTACTATCCATGAAAGAAATAATAAATAAGCTGGTCTTCATTAAAATTAAAAAAACTTCTGCTCTGTGAAAGACAATGCCAAGAGAATTAGAAGACAAGCCACACACTGGGAGAAAATATTTGCAAAACACACATCTGATAATGGACTGTTACCTAAAATACACAAAGAACTCTTAAAACTCAACAACAACCTGCTTTAAAAATGGACCAAAGATCTTAACAAATACCTCATCAAAGAAAATATATGGATGAAAAATAAGCACATGAGAAAATGCTCCACATCGTTATGTCATCAGGGAAATGCAAATTAAAACACAAGGAGATACCACTACTCATCTATGAGAATGGCCAAAATCCACAACACTGAAAATACCAAATGCCAATGATGATGTGGAACAATAGAAGCTCTCATATAATGCAGGTGGGAATGCAAAATGGTACAGCTTCTTTAGAAGACAGTCTGGCAGGAGTGCCTGGGTGGCTCAGTCAGTTAAGTGTAGGACTCTTGATTTCTGCTCAGGTCATGATCTCAGGGTTATGGGATTGAGCCCCACGTCAGGCTCTGTGCTCAGCACAGAGTCTGCTTGTCCTTCTCCCTCTGTTTCTCCCCCTGCTAGTGTTCTCTCTCTCAAATAAATGAATAAAATCTTCCAAAAAAAAAAAGAAGTCTGGCAGTTTCTTACAAAACTAAACATACTCTTACCATACGATCTAGTGATTGCACTCCTTGGTATTTGCTCGAAGGAGTTGAAACTTAGATCCCTACAAAAACCTGCATATTTATTCATAGCTGCTAAAACTTGGAGGTAACCAAGATGTCCTTCAGTAGGTGGATGGATAAATGAACTATGATACATCCAGACAATGAAATATTCAGCACTAAAAACAAATGAACTATAAAGGCATGAAAAAAACATGGAGGAATCTTAAATGCATATTACTAAGTGAAAGAAGTCAATCTGAAAAGGTTATATACTGTATGACTGCATCTATATGACATTCTGGAAAAGGCAAAACTATGCAGACAATAAAAAGATCGTGGTTGCCAGAGATTGGGGGTGGATAGTGGGAAGGAACAGGTGGAGCACAGAGGATTTTTAGAGCAGTGAAAATACTCCATATTATACTACAAGGATGGATATATGTCATTATACATTTTCCAAACCCAGAGAATGTATAACACCAAGAGTAAACCCTAAGGTAAACTATGGATTTTGGGTGATTATGATGAGTCAATGTAGGTTCATTCCAGTAATGTTGATAATGGAGAGGCTAAGCATGTGTAGGGGTAGGGAGTATGTGAGAAATCTCTGCACCTTCCTTCCAATTTTGTTAAGAATCTAAAACTGCTCTTAAAAAAAGGTATTAAGAAGCACTGAAGTTACTGTAGTATAATTTTATAATTTTAAAGGATTTCTGATGTTTATAATAATTTTTTAATGGATAACTACAAATACCTTGCTTTTAATGATCCAGGATATTTAATGACTAATACAGTTTTTACAAAATCCAGAATGTATTCTCGTTTTCTCCCCAGGACAATTTTTTAAATTAATTAATTAATTAATACCTTTTTAAAAAGCAGTTTTAGGTTCTTAACAAAATGGTTTTATCAAAGGCACATATTCTCTCATCGCATTACTTATAATTCATTAGAAGACCCAAACTTAATGTTCTTCATCTTTCCAAGGAGCTTGTTTTAGCTGATTATATAATTAATGGTCAAATACTAGAAAACTATAGCCTGAAAAGATATACTAAAGCCATAGCTAAATTGAAGATTCCACTGGAAATTAACCAAAAAGAAATTACATACAGAAAAATTAATTCTTCTCTTATCATAGAGGAGCTGTTTTGTTTTGTTTCTGATACTAATCAGTATCAGTTTCACCTATGCTCATGCCTTAATTTGCTTGGAAAAGGTCACTTCCAACGGTACATTGAAACAACAGGGTAAGAATAAGAAATTTCAGGACACTGTTACATACCTGAAAGCAAATATACTTAGTTGGGTTTTTTTTCTTTTCTTAAGACCGTTTCTTCTATCCTAAGTAAAAACGAAGCTCTATTAGCCAACTTTTTAAGCAATGGTAATTGCTATACTATACTAAAGAACATATAAAAACTACAAGTAAAAAAAAATCACTCTACTGAATGCTTACAAGGGAAAAAATACGAGAATACAATTAATCACAGCTCCAAGATATGCCGTACTTTTCAATGAACGCAATTGCAATGAATGAATACAGCCTTCTGCATGCTTAAATACCAAGTGCCCCCTTGTGGACAACATTGTTATTAGCCTTATATATAAAATCTGTGTTATTTGTTTT